ACAGCATTGTTGAACAGTACATTATGATGGATCTCATACAGGCGAGCTATCCTGGGAGTGGGGTGATGATTCAGGTACTGACTGATATGGTCAGCGTAACATTAATCCATAGAAGCGTCCATGCAATCAGTAACACAACATGGCTTCAATGGCTGCTGCTCATTCCTCGACCCCTCACTATAATTCTCTGTCTCTGTCCTACTTTCCAAGGTATTCATTGACTTATATTTCAATGATTGTTCACGGCGTTGGAAATATAGGCTTGTAAAACTTTTACTGACGAACCTGATTACAGGGGACAGTCACTTGCTGACAGCACATGTTTGGGATATCACCAGTCGTTGTGTTCCTCCATGTCCGGCTTCACATGAACTCACCTATAGTCTGGAACAACTTCCGGGTCACTGTTGTGGACATGTAACCCTTGGTCAGCAGGGTGTCCGCTATGTAGGCAGAGAGTATTGCTCCGATAGACCGGCCGATGAACGGGAGAGACGACAAACTGCCGTTCTGTTCAATATGAAAACGTTTTAAAAAGATATCACTACTGTAATGTCGGCAACTGCTGTAATGACGGCCACAAATACAGGAACAAGTATGTCGGATGTTACGCCGAACTTAGCAATTCCAGTAGTGTCAATGACAAGGGCGGATACAGCTTCTTAAAAAGAGTGGAGGGGAGGGGAGTCAGTCTTTGAAGGAAATGTTGAGGCGGGGTGGGGTGTGGAAGGCAGGAATTGGGGATGTAGGAGGGGGCATGAGAAATAGCCTTTACACAATGTGTTCGTGTCGAGATGCGAAACCGTGTCGTAGTCGTGACGGGTTAACGCTTTAACCACTGGGCTACCGCCACGTCCCCATTAACATCGGCTATTCATTGACATGATGTTGAAAAATCTGTAAACGAACTCAAACTATTGATCTCTGTAAAACAAAGTACTGATATATGAAGCACCTTATGAAGCACCTTATCTAGCCACCATTACCTCACCTCCTTGAACCCGTGAAGGTCCAGGTTAGAATGAACCTCCAGTAACCCATGCTTGTCGTAAGAGGCGACTAACGGGATCGGGTGGTCAGGCTCGCTGGCTTGGTTGACATATGTCATCGGTTCCCAATTGCGCAGGTCGATGCTCATGTTGATCACTGGATTGTCTGGTCCAGACTCGATTATTTACAGATCGCCGCGATATAGCTGGAATATTGCTGAGTGTGGCGTAAAACTAAACTCACTCACTCACCTCCTTGATGCTGAACTTGAGGACGTCATCCATGTACAGCGGTATGAATGTCGTCATCGACGTCAACACCCATGCTTCAGAGAAGTGAAGGGTCACCAGCGCCCAGAACGGCGGCGATCTCACTATCTTGTTCCATGGTGGCTGGAATGGATGAAGTCATAGATGCAACTGTTGAACCACTCTCGCATGCTTCGCCGTACAAGGAAGAGAAAGAAATTTTCTACGCAAACGTAACGCGACTGTGGCGTAGTGGATAGGGCGTCTAACCTGAGAGACGGGAGGTCGGTAGTTCGATTCCGTTACATTAAAGGGGGACCCGTGAAGATCCGGGTGTAGAATAGGTCCTTAGCCACCAATGCTTGCCACAAAAGGCGACTATGCTTGTCGTAAGAGGGGACTTACGGGATAGGGTGGTCAGGCTCGCTGACTTGGTTGACACATGTCATCGGTTCCCAATTCTCACTGGATTGTCTGGTCCAGACTCGATTATTTATAGACCGCCGCCATATAGCTGGAATATTGTTGAGTGCGGCGTAAAACTAAACGCACTCACTACTTTAAAGGGATAAGACAAGCACTGGTCAGCTTGGAGTCAGTATAATGTATCTGAGGGTGATATCCGTAAACATTGCAACTTGGTATCTCGGTACTTCAACTTTAAAAAAACATGTTTAGCCATTGTATTGATACTCGGATTAATAAAACGTGAATGTGTAAGGATACGTCTTAAACCAAGATTATATGTTTATATCGTTATTTACCATCCAAAACTGTGTTCCACAGAAGATATTGCTTGTGTAGGATCATACGATATCTCCTAGGACATATCGTTTTGACGGTAGTTTCTGTACAATGCCCTGACAATGTTATGACGGCAACTGCTGTAATGTCGGCAACTACCGTAATGCAACTACTGTAATGTCAACTGCTGTAATGTCGGCAACTGCTGTAATGTCGGCAACTACTGTAATGTCGGCAACTGCTGTAATGTCGGCAACTACTGTAATGTCGGCAACTACTGTAATGTCGGCAACTGCTGTAATGTCGGCAACTACTGTAATGTCGGCAACTGCTGTAATGTCAACTACTGTAATGTCGGCAACTACTGTAATGTCGGCAACTACTGTAATGTCGCAACTACTGTAATGTCGGCAACTACTGTAATGTCGGCAACTGCTGTAATGTCGGCAACTACTGTAATGTCAACTACTGTAATGTCGGCAACTGCTGTAATGTCGGCAACTACTGTAATGTCGGCAACTACTGTAATGTCGGCAACTACTGTAATGTCGGCAACTGCTGTAATGTCGGCAACTACTGTAATGTCGGCAACTACTGTAATGTCGGCAACTACTGTAATGTCAGCAACTGCTGTAATGTCGGCAACTACTGTAATGTCGGCAACTGCTGTAATGTCGGCAACTACTGTAATGTCGGCAACTGCTGTAGTGAGGGCCACAAATACAGGAACAATTATGTCGGATGTTACGCCGAACGATATTCCAGTAGTGTCAAGGACAAGGGCGGATACAGCTTCTTAAGAAAAGAGGAGGGGTGGAGGGGGAGGTCAGTCTTTGAAGGAAATGTTGAGGCGGGGTGGGGTGTGGAAGGCAGGAATTGGGGATGTAGGAAGGGGCATGAGAAATAGCCTTTACACAATGTGTTCGTGTCGAGATGCGAAACCGTGTCGTAGTCGTGACGGGTTAACGCTTTAACCACTGGGCTACCGCCACGTCCCCATTAACATCGGCTATTCATTGACATGATGTTGAAAAATCTGTAAACGAACTCAAACTATTGATCTCTGTAAAACAAAGTACTGATATATGAAGCACCTTATCTAGCCACCATTACCTCACCTCCTTGAACCCGTGAAGGTCCAGGTTAGAATGAACCTCCAGTAACCCATGCTTGTCGTAAGAGGCGACTAACGGGATCGGGTGGTCAGGCTCGCTGGCTTGGTTGACATATGTCATCGGTTCCCAATTGCGCAGGTCGATGCTCATGTTGATCACTGGATTGTCTGGTCCAGACTCGATTATTTACAGATCGCCGCGATATAGCTGGAATATTGCTGAGTGTGGCGTAAAACTAAACTCACTCACTCACCTCCTTGATGCTGAACTTGAGGACGTCATCCATGTACAGCGGTATGAATGTCGTCATCGACGTCAACACCCATGCTTCAGAGAAGTGAAGGGTCACCAGCGCCCAGAACGGCGGCGATCTCACTATCTTGTTCCATGGTGGCTGGAATGGATGAAGTCATAGATGCAACTGTTGAACCACTCTCGCATGCTTCACCGTACTCGGAAGAGAAAGAAGTTTTCTACGCAAACGTAACGCGTCTTAACGCGTCTGTGGCGTAGTGGACAGGGCGTCTAACCTGAGGGACGAGAGGTCGGTGCTTCGATTCCGTTACATTAAAGGGGACCCGTGAAGATCCGGGGTAGAATAGGTCCTCAGCCACCAATGCTTGCCACAAAAGGCGACTATGCTTGTCGTAAGAGGGGACTTACGGGATAGGGTGGTCAGGCTCGCTGACTTGATTGACACATGTCATCGGTTCAATTGCGCACCTCACTGGATTGTCTGGTCCAGACTCGATTATTTATAGACCGCCGCCATATAGCTGGAATATTGTTGAGTGCGGCGTAAAACTAAACGCACTCACTACTTTAAAGGGATAAGACAAGCACTGGTCAGCTTGGAGTCAGTATAATGTATCTGAGGGTGATATCCGTAAACATTGCAACTTGGTATCTCGGTACTTCAACTTTAAAAAACATGTTTAGCCATTGTATTGATACTCGGATTAATAAAACGTGAATGTGTAAGGATACGTCTTAAACCAAGATTATATGTTTATATCGTTATTTACCATCCAAAACTGTGTTCCACAGAAGATATTGCTTGTGTAGGATCATACGATATCTCCTAGGACATATCGTTTTGACGGTAGTTTCTGTACAATGCCCTGACTATGTTATGACGTCATGAACTTGATGACGCCACAATGCTATGACATCACTGCACTGCAAGTCTAATGGCAGTACCGTGTTCAGAGATGCAGATTTTTCATTGAAAACTAATGAAGAGAGATTTTTTATGATAAATAGAATCACAACCTCGTGTCTTCTGATATCAAATATATCAACACTCGTTGATAAAAGTAAAAAACTGTAACTTTATCAACTCGCGTTAATAATTGATATCAGTAGACACTTGGGTGAGATTATCTATATACTAAAAAGGATATGTATTCATGTGTGTTCTTATGCCGAAAATATCCTATAACAAGAATAGAAAATGTCGTTTTTTATATTACAGAAATAATGCACTGTTTCCCCCAAGGTTCAAAGCAAGCTTGGCTAATGATCGATTAGATCCTGAAGAAAGTTGGGCAAGCTGCTGCTGACCCGTTGAGACGTCGACTCAACATGGATTCTACTTCATAGATCGGGGAACAGTGTAGGTCAACGAAGCTAGGTGTCTGTCGCCATCTTCTCCTCAGCTGTGCAGAGCTGTGTCCTTTACACGTGCTATGGTCGTGGGTTGAAATCCCTTTGAAAAGTACAGTCACACGTCGCAACTGGCGTACCGTCGAAAGCGGCGCTAAATGACTCACTCATTGCAGAACTTCTCACCACAAGCCCTGATCTTGACACACGTGAATTGACCATGTCGCGGCTACAGCGAGGACGTATTACCTTGACTGATGTCGTTCTGGTAGTCTTCCTGTAGTAGATGATGCGCTTCTCCCTGTCAGTCATCCGGGGATGGGACTCCGGGGAGTCGAACACGATCAGCAGCCACAGCACCAGCCACACAAAGCCACACCCTCCTGGCATTGTAAACATTCGTTTATACATCTTAAAAATGGTAAACAAGACAATCGGACATGTTGTAAGCGAACACCTGGTGTCATCATTTGCACCAACACTCTGTCCAGTGAAATCTGTGTCAGCAGTTATCCAGGTGTCAGATAATTTCATAGCTACTCGAATCTTGCTACAACTGAATTTTGTATTCAATATTCATTGAAACGCAGTGTATTATTTGCCTTCAGTGCGTAATTTTGAATTGAGTTGGGCTTTACGTCACATCGGCATTATTCCAGCCATGTTTTCAGGTGACTAGTGAGTGAATTTAGTTTTATGTCGCCTTTAGCAATATTCTAGCAATATGACGGCAGGGGCACCAGAAATGGGTTTCAAACATTGTACCCATGTGGGTAATCGAACCCGGGTCTTCGGCGTGACGATCGAACGATTTAACGATGTGCAGAACCACTTATCCTGCAATATTTTATAAAGTCCACTTTACATGATAAGACATCTCTTAACCGGGCTGTTTTTGTCCACATGAACTAACAACTGTATGTTCGATGACAAAATGTCAGCCCCTTACCGTATGCATAGAAAATAAAGGGCCATCCCTCATCCAGCGGGACTATGTTTACACCTGGGGAGATAAACACAGAGTAGGGCGGACACCACCGTCAGCTATGATGCTGCCTATGTTTACACCTGGGGAGATAAACACATCAGTTGTGGGAGTCGTAGCAGTAGTAGTAGTAGCTTCAGTAGAAGTGATAGTACTATTAGCAGTAGTAGTAGAAGTAGTAGTAGCAGTAGAAGTAGAAGTAGTAGTACTATTAGTAGTAGTAGTAGTAGTAATAGTAGTAGTAGTAGTAGTAGAAGTAGAAGTAGTAGTAGTAGTAGTAGTATGAAACATTATGCTGTGTTGAAATACATGGATGAAACTTAACATGGTGAATGTCACCTGTTCTGTAGTTAATACTGCAATACTGCGTGTCATGTCATAAGACACGTGCGTCCACGAGGGGGCTTCCCATCACTACCTGGTGGCACGGATACACACACGCATCAGTCAGGTCGGTCGCCTGAGATGAGGATAGCAATACGATGACAGGTGTATTACTTACCTGAATTGGTAAAGGCAGCCAGCTGGGCCTTCTCCTTTATGGGAGCCCAGTGAGACCATAATACTTGTTGTGACGGCAGAACAACTCCCTTCAAAAGTGAAAAAACATGGCCTCAGACAACTCACTCACATATACAGTTCAGGGACTGGTTAATTCATAATGAGCATGTTTGTATGTATTTTCGTTTTGAAAAAGATCAGTTATGATTCAAATTTGAAATGATTAAATGTTCGAATCTTGGTTTATTAGCACCATATCCATTAGGGGTGGGTATTGCAGAGAATTTTCATATTGCGATATACTGCGATGCGAAAGCATATATTGCGATATGTATTGCAATATATTGTAAGAAGTGTTTTTAACAAAAAAAATACTTATAATCGAGTTAATGCTTGATTTATAAAGCAAAAACACAACAAAATCACTATGCTTGATTTGGATTTAATGAAAACTTTTAATCATGACAAAATAAAAATATAAATAATGTTTGGCACAAATGAAACAAGGAAAGGAACAATTTAAAAAACGGAAATATCCGTAGATTTCCGAGTGTTATGAAGTTTTCCGAATGCATGTCAAAAACCGGTTTTCGATCTGCGTATCGCAATATGTATCGTTTTCATGTCTGAACCGGTAAATACCGGTAAACCGGTTATATTGCGCTGCCCTAATACCCATACGGGTGGATTTCACCAAAGTGCTAACCTTCTGACAGCCATAACATATGGTATATTAGGGACTACGCTTTCTTTGTAAAGTGCATAGTCTAGTACTTTTGTTGGGTTGAGTCCCATCCGGGATTCGAACCCACACCCTATGGTGACAACTGTGTCACTTAGTTGACAAGCCCTCAATTTCTGTCACTGTTTCAACAGAGGTCAAACCCAACTTACGCACTCATTCGCACACTCGGGCAATTGTTTCCATCCTGTACCTACCGAAGCAAATCCCAGGGTCACCCGAAGTGTCACAGCCAGGTAGAAGTTGACCCTGAACGCCATTGGAAGCAGCAGTGTGACGAGAGAGCACGTGGTCAGGGATAGACCAATCATCTTCTTCGGTCCAAACCTGGCTGCTAGAAACCCGCCCACAAAGGGCGTGGTTAGGTAACCATAGTAATAACTTGAAAATAATACACCCTCCATGTTTCGAGAAAAGTAAGGGTTGATCTTCTGTGAAATGAATAAACATATGCTGTTATTGCCATAGCAACAATAACTGAAGGATCTACACAAATGTGGCAGTGGTGCAATGTGATCGCATTGATGTATCAAAATAATGTGAATATATATACTCATGCCAATAATGGTTGTCACCCCCCTCCCCACCCCAACCCCACACACACCTCACATGCCCCCCTCTCTAATTAAAAAATTTGAAGGGGGTGACAATTTGAAGGGGGTGTCCCGGAATAACACGAGCTGGCCACGAATGCTATAGCGTTACTCCAGGTCCTGGATATCTCTTTTGCTTCGAGTGTCGAGATAAGTCGTCACATTCAAGGCTATTGCTCTATTGCAGCAGCGTGTATGTGCGTGTGTCTAGTCTTGTTCAAGTACGCCAACGTTGTGTGAAGCTGAAAGCCCCACTTAGCATTATATAACGGCTATATGATATGAACCTGTGAAACCTGTGATCGATATTCTGAGCAACAATTGTGACCAATATCGCAACGATGACTAAACGGGATCCCCATAGCTCTTATATTGCCAGTCTTAGATTACAGTTTAACATGTATGCACCGCCCAGTCAAGGAAGATTGACGCCTTTTGGTATAACACGTCTTGGGTATCGATCCCCGCCCCTCCGCACACCGCGCACACACCCCATCCATGGATCCCCTTCCCTCCGCACACCGCGCACACACCCCATCCATCGATCCCCGCCCCTCCGCGCACCGCGCACACACCCCATCCATTACTGCGGCGCAAGATATTTTAAAGCATGTCTTTATGTCTTGTAAGATTAATATTGCTGAGAGAAATGTCTTATTTGAACAAATTTGTGACTTACTTGGTATTAATATGTTTGTAAAATTATGGACCTGTGATGATGATGAACTTCTGAAATATCTACTTGGCGGAATAGCGGAAGATGTAAAGGACCAGTTAAACTATGATGTGTGGGCAAATGTTATAATATGTGTCTCAAATTCTGTATCTAAACGGAAAAATGTTATTAATTGTTGTATTTCACATCACTACCCTGTATAAATTATTTCATGCACATTTCTGTTGTATCATGTACCATAAATATGACTGTATAATATACATTTGTAATCTTCTTTGGAGGAAATAGAGAATATCTGTCTATCGCCATCCACTACAGAACGTAGGCGAAATTTCGGTCTGACTGTATAACGAGGGAACTGACAGGGTAGGGAATACACATTACATGGAGTACTGTCCTCAAGGCAATTCCTAATTCGGAACGTCACCCTATATACAAAGGGACAGAATCAGTCCTTCATGACCATACAACTTTGGACACCATCGTCGGAACAGAGGGATTTGACTGTATGAGCGCGGACAATGACAATGAATATAATACTTACGTACATGGTGGGCTGGCTTGTAGAAAGGTCCGTTAAGTTTACATCCGAAATATTCTGAGACATCCAGGTGTAGCTGTAGTTGTATGCGGCTGAAACGTTAGGAAACGACGTCGTTGAGTTAACTGTAGAATTTGCAACATCGCCGACATCCACCTCCATGCACACCACTGCCATGCTGAGACAGTGACGTAATGTTATTAGCAGGACGGATGCCATGGCACTCATATAGGCAATGGCCCACCGACAGGACGCGAACTTTGACACGATAGTGTCGTCAGGTGGAGGTAACTCTTCCTTTTCTTGTTGCAGCCATGATGATTTTTCATTATCCTCTCCAATGTCGCCTTGAAAAGATGAAAATACACAGGTTAATTCTTATTTGAAATAACGTTTTCCTTAGAAGAAATCTATAAGTTTAGAAATAGTTTTACCGAAAAATTTCACTGTAAATATGTACACAATATGCGTATGGATACGGTTCATGATGAATCAGACGACTGAGAAATCATTTGAATTCCGATAAGATTTATTTCCAGAATGCTTACAAATATAACGAGTTATTATATCATCAGCCATTAATCTCCAAATTTCCACGATTTCCTTTTGAACGTCGGGTCTTGAATGATAAGGTGGGATAGTTTGATACAAACAATAAGCTCGAAGACAAGGGTTTTCATTTGTTTGCCTTTCAGTGTGTACGTTCAAGAAATATTGTTCCATAGCTCCATCTAACTTACGGCTTACACCAATAACGAGACTCGGTGTACAGCGGTCCAGAGAATTAGATTTTCCGTCCATTTTTCGTCGTGATATGACGGAACTACTCTAAAAGTGTCGGCGAAACAAACACACTCCCTCCCCATTCACTCACTCCTTCCCTTCCTCCCCTCTCACTCACTCACTCATCCAATCAAGCCGCCTTCGTAGTGTAGGGGTTAGAGCGTCCGCCCGGAGAGCGGAGGGTCACAGGTTTGATCCCCGGCCGCGTCATACCAAAAGACGTTAACATATGGTACTTGTTGATCCTTGTCTGGCGCTCGGCATTAATGGGTACAAGAAGGACTGGTCGGCTCGGAGTCAGTACAATGTGTGTGAGTGGGGTATCTCAGTGAGCTAACACTTAAAAAACCAGCTTACGTCTAGGCTAGTACAAGCAGCCACACATACACACGCATGCACGTCGTCATCATTCTCTTCCCACAGAGGTTACTTTTCATATCTTCCTACAAACCTCTGTTCTAATACGGCCATATTTCCCGGTTCTCGTAAAATCCCCTATCGGCCAAGATCGCAACACGAATTATCTCCCTTCTTTCTATCCAATCAGAACACGTGTTACATCGACTTAGATCCAACCTGACTAATACAAGCAAATGTGGGGCCACAAATATCCCTCCTTTGCCGGGGACTTGTGTTGATGTGACACACAAGACATTTAATGGCTAGCTTGTCCGTTGCCAACGAGGGCGATGGAGACGCGATTGATCCGCCATTACATGACTGAGTTCTGTCTAGAAGAAACGTTTGCGCATCGCACAGGTGAAGAGGTTCGAGTTTTCCCGAAGCATACGGAAATTACCGAGGCCTTGCGAATGATCACTTTTGAAACAAAGTCGCTGATTGCACAATTAAATCTGATTGCAACCAATCGCGAATCCTGAACACTCGCACCATGAAAGGGCCTTATTAGAACAGAGGTTCGTAGGAAGATATGACAAGTAACTTCTGTGAGAAGAGAATGCGTCGTTATATGACCGAATATTCTAAGTACGACGTTAAACCCCATTTTACCTCACCTCACACATCCAATCACTCCCTCCCTTCTCCCTGTCATTCACTCACTCACCCACTCACACAGTATACATGTAACATACCGTGTCCGTCCCCCTCAACGCGCCCTTCACGCTCCATGTCCGTGAATGACACTTAACTTCTCACAAGTCCATCTTGTCACTGTCCGTTCCGAAGCACACACCAACCACTGACCCGTCAACTTTCTGTACAGACAGCCATGTACGAGGACACCACAACGTAATGAGCGGTGAAACGACAACTTGTAGAACCACCACAGATTGTAATATACAGCAATAACTAGTATTAGGGACGTTTCCGCGAATTGGAGCTTAACGGCCGAGGTTATAAGCGTCTTATATCAGTGCGATGTGCTTCCTGTCGTGGTGGTGGTTGACCAAGCGTGACATTCAGAGGTTTTCTCCACTTAGGTAAATAAAACATCTTGGCCACGACCTGAAGTCGTTCAGACACCGTCTAAAGATTAAAGGTCACGAAAACTAGAATAAGCTATGTGGTACTGACATTTAAGGTGCAATATGTTCATTGGGACGACATTACTGAGGATCATCTACAAAGGGATGTCAGCCCTGCCTATATGGCAGTCTCATTTCATTCAGGTAGACCATTAGTGTGCCTCGCTGCTCATCAATAACTTATGGTGAATTTAGCACGACGGGGTACTGCAGTGGACTTTTCATATTTTACCCATGTCGGGATCGACCCCAGGTTTTCTGCTTGACGAACGTTTAAACCACTTATATAGACCCCCACTACATCCACCCCTATCTTGTAAGGTATCAACCTAGCAGTTTATGATTAAACTAACTAGATTTCACAGTATCACAGCATCGGGGCGATGGGTAGCCTAGTGGTTAAGGTGTTCGCTCGCCACACCAAAGACCCGGGTTCGATTCCCGCCATAGGCACAATGTGTGAAGCCCATTTCGGTGTTCCCCGCCGTGACGCAGCGGCGTAAAACTAAACTCACTCACTCACTATCACATCATCTACAAACTGTCAATACTCGAGGGGCAAAAAACGTTTACGGGGGCCATCGAATTATCTGTACATCGAGACAAACGGGTCCAAGTGATGGCAGGGATTTAAAGGTACCAGGACTCGTCACAAATGATACATTGGGTTAACGGGGCGCTGACAACAGTTGGCCAATGTGCTCAGACCTGTAGTTGTGTGTCGTAATGAAGGAGAGCGAATGGTTTATGCAATTGGAATTACTGGAGGAATGTGGCACGGTGTACCCATAAAGCGAGTCAACCCATGGTTTCGTTGTGACTAGCGCTTTAAACTAAACACATACACACAAGGTCTTGTAGAGTGGTGTAAGCCATAACTTTGTATTTGTGAAGAGAACGTAGTTCCTTTCTTCCCCTAACATTATACTCATCATATCGTGATCGTACAGCTATCAGTAGACTAAGGCTTAGTCTCTGAATATATATAATTTTGATAGTAACAAACAAGCCCATTTATATTGAAAAGGAGCCCTAGGGATACCAGAGCCTGAACCTGAGGAAATCTAGACTTGCTTTATTTAGGGCTTTAGCACTGCAGAGAGGGCTTGGCAGTAGGGAAATTAATGTGGTTCAGGGACTGTGAGACAGACTAAGCCATCAGCAGCGAGGCAGTCACTACACACAAATACCCAGCTGGATAGGGAACTGAAACTGCTTCACGGGTGGTCCAGATGTCCGCTTGTGTGCAATGTAGTGAATCTGCTCAATGAAAACCCAGTTTCTGAACAGCTCAGGTATCCTAGCAGAGACTGGAACTTCTTCTGGAGCTCCGGCTAGACGGTTACGTGTTCATATCAGGTTCCGAGGGATAACTACCAACATATACGTTACTACTGCAAGTCAAAGGCCGGCAAACACAATGTTTCAGGGAGTATCTTACTGTGCCGTTAGATGCCTGTCATGTGCTCTCTATATTACTTAGATCTGTGTTTCTCACGGAAACAACGAGGCGTGAGTTCAAAGCCCAATGTTCTATGACGTGCACACTATGTGCAAGTGACACACGACTGAACATACCGTATTTCCTCTAATAAGCGCCGGATCTCTAATAAGCGCCGGGACTCTAATAAGCGTCGGGCCTCTAATAAGTGCAGGATCTCTAATAAGTGCAGGATCTTTAATAAGCGCCGGATCTCTATTAAGCGCCGGATCTCTAATAAGCGCCGGATCCCTAATAAGCGCCGGGCCTCTAATAAGCGCCGGGCCTCTAATAAGCGCAGGATCTCTAATAAGTGCAGGATCTCTAATAAGCGCTGGATCTCTAATAAGCGCCGGATCCCTAATAAGCGCGGGGCCTCTAAGAGATCTCTAATAAGTGCCGGATCTCTAATAAGTGCAGGATCTCTAATAAGAGATCTCTAATAAGGGCCGGGCCTCTAATAAGTGCAGGATCTCTAATAAGCGCAGGATCTCTAATAAGTGCAGGATCTCTAATAAGCGCCGGGTCTTTAATAAGCGCAGGATCTCTAATAAGTGCAGGATCTCTAATAAGCGCCGGCCTCTAATAAGCACCGGACTCTAATAAGCGCAGGATCTCTAAAAGCGCCGGGCCTCTAATAAGCGGCGGATCTCTAATAAGCGCCGGATCCGCAATAAGTGCAGGATCTCTAATAAGCCGGATCTCTAATAAGAGATTCAATCCAACATGCTGTCTCGGCACTTTCATGTGGATTTGGATTCAGGATCTATGTATAATTTCACGTGAGAATACGCTGCGACCTATGTTTTTATAAATATTTGCCAGGCCTTCTATTAAGTGCAGATCTTTAATAAGCGCTGGATGTCACAGACTCGCGACAAGTGCCGGGCCTCTGGGTTGCGTAGATCTCTAATAAACGGATCTCTACGCGCCGGATCTCTAATAAGCGCCGGATCTCTAATAAGCGCCGGATCTCTAATAAGCGCCGGATCTCTAATAAGCGCCGGGCCTCTAATAAGCGCAGGATCTCTAATAAGCGCGGGTCTTTAATAAGCGCAGGGATCCTAATAAGCGCAGGATCTCTAATAAGCGCTAATAAGGATCTCTAACAAGCGCCGGATCTCTAATAAGCGCCGGGGCTCTAATAAAAGCAGGATCCTCTTAATAAAGCGCTGGATCTCTAATAAGCGCCGGATCTCTAATAAGCGCCGGGATGATCTCTAATAAGTGCCGGATCTCTACTAAGTGCAGGATCTCTAATAAGAGCAGGATCTCTAATAAGTGCAGGATCTCTAATAAGTGCCGGATCTCTAATAAGTGCAGGATCTCTAATAAGAGATCTCTAATAAGGGCCGGGCCTCTAATAAGTGCAGGATCTCTAATAAGCGCAGGATCTCTAATAAGTGCAGGATCTCTAATAAGCGCCGGGTCTTTAATAAGCGCAGGATCTCTAATAAGTGCAGGATCTCTAATAAGCGCCGGAACTCTAATAAGCACCGGATCTCTAATAAGCGCAGGATCTCTAAAAAGCGCCGGGCCTCTAATAAGCGGCGGATCTCTAATAAGCGCCGGATCCGCAATAAGTGCAGGATCTCTAATAAGAGATCTCTAATAAACCAGCAGTTAAGAAATAATTACACCCAGTAGGCGCAATAAGCCTCGGGCCTCTAATAAGCGCCGGGTCTGGAAGTCTGTTAACAAAAATAAGCGTCCGCGCGCTTATTAGAGGAAATACGGTCTTTTTTTATATTTTAAGTGTCATCAGAGTTCCAATCAACATGCTGTCTCGGCACTTTCATGGTTGGATTCAGATCTATGTATAATTTCACGTGAGAAAATCATGACCTATGTTTTTATAAATATTTTATAAGCGCCGGGCCTCTAATAAGAGATCTCTAATAAGCGCCGGATGTCTAATAAGAGATCTCTAATAAGCGCCGGGCCTCTAATAAGTGCAGGATCTCTAATAAACGCCGGATCTCTAATAAGTGCAGGATCTCTAATAAGTGCAGGATCTCTAATAAGCGCCGGGCCTCTAATAAGAGATCTCTAATAAGCGCAGGATCTCTAATAAGTGCAGGATCTCTAATAAGAGATCTCTTATAAGCGCTGGATCTCTAATAAGCGCCGGATCTCTAATACGCGCCGGATCCCTAATAAGCGCAGGATCTCTAATAAGCGCCGGGCCTCTAATAAGCGCAGGATCTCTAATAAGTGCAGGATCTCTAATAAGTGCAGGATCTCTATTAAGCGCCGGATCTCTAATAAGCGCCGGATCCCTAATAAGCGCCGGGCCTCTAATAAGCGCCGGGCCTCTATTAAGCGCAGGATCTTTAATAAGCGCCGGATCTCTAATAAGCGCCGGATCTCTAATAAGCGCCGGATCTCTAATAAGCGCCGGATCCCTAATAAGCGCCGGATCTCTATTAAGCGCCGGATCTCTAAAAAGCGCCGGATCCCTAATAAGCGCCGGATCTCTAATAAGTGCAGGATCTCTAATAAGCGCCGGACCTCTGAGAAGAGATCTCTTATAAGCGCTGGATCTCTAATAAGAGATCTCTAATAAGCGCCGGATCTCTAATCAGAGATCTCTCATAAGCGCCGGATCTCTAATAAGAGATCTCTAATAAGCGCCGGGCCTCTAATAAGTGCAGGATCTCTAATAAACGCCGGATCTCTAATAAGTGCAGGATCTCTAATAAGTGCAGGATCTCTAATAAGCGCCGGATCTCTAATAAGAGATCTCTAATAAGTGCCGGATCTCTAATAAGTGCAGGATCTCTAATAAGAGATCTCTAATAAGGGCCGGGCCTCTAATAAGTGCAGGATCTCTAATAAACGCAGGATCTCTAATAAGTGCAGGATCTCTAATAAGCGCCGGATCTCTAATAAGCGCAGGATCTCTAATAAGCACCGGATCTCTAATAAGCGCAGGATCTCTAATAAGCGCCGGATCTCTAATAAGCGCCGGGTCTTTAATAAGCACAGGATCTCTAATAAGTGCAGGATCTCTAATAAGCGCCGGAACTCTAATAAGCACCGGATCTCTAATAAGTGCAGGATCTCTAAAAAGCGCCGGGCCTCTAATAAGCGGCGGATCTCTAATAAGCACCGGATCCGCAATAAGTGCAGGATCTCTAATAAGAGATCTCTAATAAACCAGCAGTTAAGAAATAATTACACCCAGTAGGCGCAATAAGCCTCGGGCCTCTAATAAGCGCCGGGTCTGGAAGTCTGTTAACAAAAATAAGCGTCCGCGCGCTTATTAGAGGAAATACGGTCTATTTTTTATATTTTAAGTGTCATCAGAGTTCCAATCAAC